CCGATCTAGTCCAATCATCTTTCTGCCAGGCTTCTTCAGCCCAATCAGCCTTCACTCCACCTTTAAATCTCACTTTCACATGACATCTGACATTCTGGTCACTCTAGATGGCGAGATATCTGATTTGGCCAACAACTTTGTGATGGTCTCCACCTGTAGCTGTTATAAATAATCTGTATATGTACAGTTATATACTGTATAAATGTTAAAACCATATAGCCAGTGCCTCACACAGGAAACCAAGCACACACCCTCAGCATTCAATAGTCTTTACAGGAAACAAAAAGCAATGACAACAACACCATAATTTTTTCTTCCCATGAGTAACATGTGAGATAGGAGAGTAAGGAGTGTTAATACTAGTAGCCAGTAAGTATTGTGTCTATATGACAGTTAGTTATAAGATTTGAGTCTTTAATAATTCATCTTCAAGAACAGGATTTGCTGTTTCACTCTAGTTTTACAGGTAGAAGACTAGAAAAGTGAAGGGAGTAACAATAGCTTAGTGGAACTTGAATAACATATTTCATTTTTCTTTAAAAACTACAATGTGTTATCTAAAAACTAAAGGTAGTTACTGTCTAGTCACAGGGATTGAGAAAACTGACAAGAAAAGAAAATAACTGATCACTGGCTATGGTTAAGACTGCAAGTACATTACCAAACATATGTGTGATATGTGTCTGTGATTCATTCATGTTGGTGCATATAAAACTATTTTCCATCTGTTCTTTTACAAGTCTGTGCTCCCATGCACAGGTGGTGTTTTAATGCATTTTCCTATCCACCGTGTGCAACAGCACTCTTGACTATACACATTAATGTAAACTTGACCTCTTATTTATGTTGAAAGCTTGTATGTTGAAAGTTACAAAAATGCAGAAATCCTGAAAGAAAGCAACTACAATCCAATAAATTCCAAAACAGGCTGGTAACAAACAAGGCGGGATAACAAACGAATGCTTTCTCTAATCAGGGCGAGTAGAAACACCTTGGAAAAAAAAGTTGAAAATAATTGAAGGTAATGAGTGA